ATAATCACTCTCATTCAAATGTAATCTCGATTCATTTATATTTTTTTTACTTGAAATATGACAAATATTTGTATCAAATCAAGAGTTGCTGTTCTGTCTTACATTTTAAATATAATTAGAAAGAATATAGAGCACAATGGACCCGATTGCTAAATGTGGCCGCCTAACCAAACATATCCATTAATAATTAAAAAGTAATTTCATCGTTAAACTCGAAGACCAATACGCCAATCTCCACCGCCCTCTAAATATTTCTCATATAACTTTAATTTTTTAATTTAAACTTTATATTTTATTCATCTTTTGTTTATAATCAATCAAAAATTTTAAATTTTATTAATGTTACGAATATAAAATTTAGGGTTTTTTAATAGAGTAATTAAATTTTTAAAAAATTTAAATTTGTGGGAGAAAAGTTTAAAAATTTATTAGATACAAAGAAATCTCGTGTTTAGACACACCCTGATGATGTAACTCCCGATAAAATATGGTAAATTTTTTGAATGCATGCTTCTAGAAAGGAAAAGTGATGGTTTTATAGGAGGTGGTGTAATTAGTAGAAGAAAGTAAGTGGTTTTTTAATGGAAAATAATGTAGAAAACACCGGTAGCACCAATAATAATAATAATGAAGTGGGCAACAGCCAAACCCCATTAGTTTTGTAGATTAAAATATGAAACCATAATCCATAGCTTAATTATAAAACTGTAATAATTAAGGATAATAATAGAGAATTAAGTAAAACATGCAGACAAATAACTACCCATGACTCATGCAAATCTATGTCCAAACCCTACGCATGTTTTATTCATTTATTTGCTTTTTGCACAAAAAAACGATACAATTTGTCTTCTCATCTTTTTTTTTTATTATTATTATTATTATTATTATTATTATTTAGCCCAAATGCATCTACCCATCTCTTCATTTTCCCTCCAAAGCATTATATTAACTAAATGGGGCTTCTCAATTTGAGTTTTGCATAAAGGGGCTTCTTTTTTAGTGTATTTATTCTAATGGGTACAATGAACCACGAAAATATAAATATTTCAAAATTTGAAAATATATATATAAAAAAAAAATGATTAAATGTTTTTTTCTTCAAAATTTAGTCCAGCAAATGCATTGGGAAAAATCATAATTTGAAGCTGAGTTGGAATGAGAATATTTGTCCCTATACTTGACCTCAACCACTAACCTTTAATTTTATTTTTGACATGAAAATATATTTTTAAATGATTATATTAATTTATTCCAAGCAAATAATTAGCCATAATAAATGAACCAACACAAATCATGAAATTGGGTTATCTTAGATGTAACTTACTATTGAAATAAGTCGAAATAAACGATCGAAATTGGGAATATAATTTTTGAATAGAGGAACTACAATCATTAATACTTTTCAATTTTTTTTTTTTTTTTTTTTTGTGAAAAGAGTACCTATTTAATGAGTATTTGTAGCGGAGAAAACAGGAAGAATCTCGAGAAAAAATAGGTGTTTGAAGGCACAAAATGGGAAAGCCCTTACCCCGATGTGAGGGTGACAGTGTAGCCCACAAAGGAGACCCTAAAAAGGAAGGCACATACTCATAACTTTAGCTCAAAAAAGTTGGTATGCCTTTTGGATAGAACAAAGAGAAGGGTACTACAGGAGAATGGAGCAAAAAATAATAATGCAAATGATGGGTTATAAAGACCTCAAACTTGTTCATTCTTTTGTACTTAAAACTCATCATATTATTGACCCAATGGCTGTACTTAACTCTTTTGATTCTTCTTCTTCTTCTTCTTCTTCCTCCTCCTCTTCTTGTGGCGCCTGCAAGTTTCTGAGGCGAAAATGCAGCGATCAATGCGTATTTGCTCCTTTGTTCAGCTATGATGAAGCCACTTCCCATTTTGCAGCTGTTCATAAAGTGTTTGGAGCTAGTAATGTGTCCAAGCTTCTGCTGCATCTCCCCATGCATGTCCGAAGCCAGGCTGCTATTACCGTCACTTATGAAGCCCTTGAGCGCATGCGAGATCCCGCCTATGGCTGCGTCTTGCATATCTTCGCGTTGCAGCAAGAGGTTGTTTTCAAATCTCTAAACATTTAAACACCTCATGAGTTTTTAAAATCTTTTTAGATCTTTCTCTTGCAGGTCGCCAGCTTGCAGGAGGAGATACAAATTCTGGGGACCCAAATAGCCAACCTCCTCACCACCGGCGCCGCCATTTCAGCAGTGGAGAATCCATTTATAGAGATGAATGATTTTGGGATGAACTCAAACCATTGTCAAAATGAGCTGCCTTCTCAGCTGCTTCCCTACCAAACTTGTGATGATGCCCAAAAGGATGATCCAATGATATCTCCATTGCTTTGTTTAGGGGAAAAAGATGGAGGCTTTGGGTTCTGCCACTCAAATCATGTTGTTCACACATCAGGCTTTCATGTTTCAGTCGACGAGAATTTTGGTGGTTATCCATGGATACTTGGATGATGATGATGAAGTTTTGTAGTTGCCCTTTTGCATGGAATAATAATATTCGTCTTTCGTTTGAAAATAATTATGTAACTTTTTTTTTTTTTTTTTTTTTTATATCTATCTTGTTTGATTTTGAGCCATGTTTAGTTCGCCCTACCGAATCAAACAGTAAATTTTTAAAATAGTAACTAATATTTTATCTATTCAGCTATGCTCGGATGACATCAATAATTTCTTTGCAAGAGCCTAAACTCATCACTAGCAGATATTGTTCGCTTTATCCCGTTACGAATCATCATCATAGTTTTAAAACACGTTCTATTGAGGAGAGGTTTTTACATTCTTATTAGGAATGTTTCGTTTCTTTCTTCAACCGTGGTGAGATCTCACAATCTATCCCCCTTGGAAGTTCGGCATCTTTGCTGGCACACCACTCGGTGTCTAGCTCTGATACTATTTGTAAAAATTCAATTCCACCGCTAGCAGATATTGTCCATTTTGACTCATAAATGTTCGTTTCTCTCTTCCATCCCTCCCATTTAAATTTCTTACACCGGTTATAATTAATTAGACACCAAATCTTTGAAAGCCAAGTTTAGATGGGCTTATTTAGCATGATGATGAGCGGTGTGATGAAGGCCCACCTCCCATTCCAAGGGGATAAGAAAGAGCATGAACCCATTTTTCCAGAAAGCAAGCATGTGTCAATCAGTGGCTCTCCCTTTGATTTATTTATTGCTCAAAAGGGCTCCACTGAAAGTTATTTAACTTCATAAACCCTCTTGCCTGTCCCTTACCACCCCCATAGGAAAGCTTCTATTCTATTTTATAAGTTCTAATGCCTTCTTCAGCCACTATTGTGATCTTCTGCTACCATTTCATACGCTGTAGTATCGTATAGAAACATAGCTAAAAGCTACTAGATGCCGCTATTGATTGATAATACTGCTAGTAGCGTCGAAAGAATTATTCCAATGTTGATTCGAGTAGGAAGAAAAATAGGACAAAACTCGGCATCACAGCTCCATAGCCTCACCTACACGTCTAAGGACCTCAATATTACGAACCCTTGTCCTGTTCGGGTTTAAAAGCTCGATGGTTAAGTAAGTTTTTTGTTCCCAGTTTATGGTCGGAGATGAACAGCTTTCCAAACTTGAGCAATGGTTGATGCAAGAACTCATCAATTACAAAGTACACTTCTTTTGAATAGAACTCTATCAAAATTGTTCGCCTAATCTCTGACTTCAAAAATTAGAATTAGAACTAGGCTCAAATCAATCCAGTTAAGGAAACCATTGTAAAGTAAATCTCTTATGGGTTTTGTTGAATTCAAAGTTCATCTCTGCAAGAAACGTCTAAAATTTCAAGTCAAAAGATAACTTTAACGGCAAAAAAGAAAAAATTATAGCCATCTATGGTCATACTTTTCAGCCCTAGAGAACCATCTTAGAACTTATTCCTTGCACGGATGCCAATCTCCATTGACTAACAGCAATTTCAAAAAGAAATGTAAACATTGACAAACATGCAATTTTAAGATGATAAAATGAATTTAAACTGCTAAATGACATACGATGATTCGACTCACCGCATTGTCTACGAAACAAACACCGAATCAAAAGAAAATGTAAAAATCTCGACACGTCACCAAAGAGAGAACTCGCTGATTATGCATATTAGGATTCCATGCTGGACTATGTCTGCTTGAAATATATCTATTTTTGTACATAAACTATTGTGTCATAGCTAGAGTATACACATACCGTTTTAATTGTTTTATACGACGTTAAAGACTCTTCTTATTAACATTGACAAAGCATTCAATCAGACATCAAATCAACCATAGGAAGTGTTCATCAAGAAGGGAGAGATACTTTAAGCAAACAAAAGGGTAGAAAGGCATAGGATTATCAACAGTGATTAAATAGTAGGAGTGACTAACTAATGTTTAATAACCAATGCAATGAGTTAAACAGCGATTTAAAGAGACCAGCGCAAAGAATTGTGTTTAAGCAAGTGGGTGGGAGTGGTTGAAAAAAAAAATTCAACACTCATCTGGATTACCCATCATAGATAACCAAATCAAACCAATCAATTTGGTCACTTTCCAGACATGTTTACCTAAAACTCTTTATCAACTTTACCATTAAAACTGAACGATAACCCAAAGCTCGGCGAGGCTTCCTTCATCTATAGGGGGCGTTTGTTTCACAAATTCTTAATGGTTAGACGTGTATAAACGATGTGTGTATGTCGATGAAGATAGCCTAACAATGCAGCATATTTCAATGGCATAAAAACATATACTCATCAAGTCTAGTGTTGCAACTAGTAAGACAAACGCCCCTTAAGGGATTTTGATAAATGTTGCTCAAAACTGTCATGATATGCATATTGGAAAAGGAATGATCATAGAAGTAGCTGTGAAAGAGAGAGAAGCATGTACCTGATCGATGAATATTGGGGCTCCAAACTCATACTTCCACTTGTTCACCTACAACGCTATAGATTCATTGATTCTGACAAAGATGAGAATTAGAAAGAAGAATCCCCATATGATAATGCTTAATTCCACCACACAACACAACATTACAAAAGAGAAATGAGTTTCAACAAGAAAAGAAAGGAAAAGCAAAATATAAACAAACAAAATCCTACCAGCTCAACTTGATCAAGTTCTCAAAGTTCAAACAAAAATAGCACCTAGTTGTCTCTCTCACTCTATTATATCTCTCTTAAAATGGAGGTGGGGCTCTAGGAGGACTCCAAAACACATCATGTGATGAAACCTGACCATTTGGCACCAAATTTGAAGCCATATTGTAAACGCCCATTGAAGGCTGCTGTTGATCCCCCATGCTCTGAGAAGTTGAATTGTTCTGGCTTGTTCCAGACTTGTCTCCAGCAGCTGCCTCCTCCTCCTCGAGTGGCAGCCGTTCGAATGTAGCGTTTGTGAAAGTGGCAGCGATAACGATGACCGGACCTGTTGCAACGAGGGCACCGACAACAATGCCACCAACAACTTGCCCCTGCCCGCCAGCCAAGTAGACAGTTAACCCAGTAGCTCCCGGTGGAGCTGGGGCAGGCAAAAATGCACCAGAGAGCGACAGTATGTCGAATCGTCCCTGTAGCGTAATAACGCCGCTAGGGGCTGCCGGATGCCGGAGAGTGACATTGGCGACGACCCCATTTCCACTGAGAACCGAAACTCCTCGCTGCCGGCGTTGGGCGAAGTTTGAGATGCTTTCGACGATATCGCTGCCGCTGCCGATTTCTAAAACGTGGCTTCGGAGAGCATCGGGGCTCTCTTTCGTGACCACCACTGGCGGCTTCGGCTTGTTTTTGGATCCCGGTGGCCGGCCACGTGGACGGCGCGTGCTGGAGCTGGTGCCTGGTTCGGCTCTCTCATGGCTGCCGGAGTTATTCTCTTCATCGACAGCTTCTATGCTTTGCTTTAATGGAGTCGAATAAGGGTTGCTGGTGCTGCTGTCCGTGGTGGTGGGTATGTTTTCAGCCCACCATCGATTAGCCATTTCTTCTTCTATATTTCCTCCTCTTCAAGATTATTAAACACTCTAAAAGAAAACCCAATACAAATTTATACACCGAGGGAATCCAATGGTGGCAAAAGAAGTTTCTATCTTTTTTTCCCCTTTATTCCCCCTTCCCCCACATACACACACTCTCTCTCTCTCTCTCTCTAAATGAATAACGACAAGAGAAAAAACTAGGTAACCCCTTAACGCTGCCTCAACTTCTTTCTTCTTTCCAACTTGAACAGAACAAAACCCAGATCGGTAACTGCAATAAAATGACCTAGAATCACAACCACTTTACTCGAAGAAACCCTAATCAGATCCAACAGTCGCAAAAAGTAAAGAGGCAAAAAACATAAAAACAGAGAGAAGCCCAAATCGGTGAGGGGGGGAAATCAGAGCAGGAAATGGAGAAATTGAAGGGGTGTTGGAAAAGGCATGTTTGTTTTAAGAAGAAGAAGAAGAAGAAGAAGAAAAGGCATCATTTTCAGGATTCAAATGAAGAGGTGCAGACAAAAGGAAAGAAAGCGGGGGAGTGGGTCTGGAATGAGGGTATAAATACAAAAGAGGGGTGGCCCAGAAATTGTACCTATCTTTAATGTACTCAAAAGGGTCAGAAAAAAATAGTACAAAGATCCAAGGAGGTTCTACTTCTGCTCTCTCAGTGCTGCGGCCGAAGAAGAAGAAGAGGAGGAAGACGAGCGATGGCGTGAGAAGGAGGGGGAGGGGGGGCCGGGTGGGTTTATTGAAGCTTTTAACTTGTACGATAAGATTTTTGACAGAAGTCACTGTTGAATCAGTGCCTGTGAAAGCGGTTTAGCAGAGATGGTTATTTCCTGTCTCCCACTTGCTGCTGCACTGCTCTGCTCTGCTCTCCTTACACTCAAGTTGGTTGAATGAAACTAAGGGGCACTCTGTTTCATTTGCTTTTGGGTTTGTGGTTCAGTTCTTGGGCGGCAAGTTAATGGGGGATGGATCTAGGGAGGTAAAGGGTACGTGTAGGGCTGTGATTTGGAGCAGAAGGGGAGGAGGAGGAGGAGGGGGTTGCTTAGGGGAAGCGTGGGCATCGAGGAGCTTACACAGTGTGAGCGTACCGACAAAGGTATTGAAAGAGGCAAAAGGCTCAAGTTTTGGATTGGGGATTGGGGGATTGGGGATTATTGGTAAGGGAAGATCACCGCCAAAGACCACAGCTTTTAACCCGAACAGTCCCCCACCACCACCACCATACCCCCCTTCCCTCATTTTCGGCCATTTGCCTCTTTCTGGAATGTTTCAGGTTCCACATCATCATCACCATCATATCTTCTGCGAGACAGAATCTAGGGAATACTTCCCTTGAATTACAAACATGCCCCCCCCCCCCCCCCCCCCCCCCCCCCCCCCCCCCCCCCCCCCCCCCCCCCCCCCCCCCCTTCTTGGATAGGATATAGTTTTTATGATTTTATTAGGGGATTCAATTTCTTTTTCCTTTTTTGTTTTTCGTGTTCTAAGAAAGCAAACATTATTAGTACCAAAAATATGAGAGAGGGAGAGAGAAAATTGTAAAATAATTAATAAAAAATTGTTAAAGGTTAAGATAGAGTACAAGGATAATTAGAAGTACAAGAACTCAAATTACTGAGCCCACCATCCATTTATGTGGGCTAATTCTTGGGTCAAAACTTTTCTTACTCCTATCAATGGCGTCATCTACCCCATGAAGCATGCTGTTAACAATTTAATTATGGAGAGGATGGAAAAGGGCCAGAAATTACATGTAGCTTCCAAAACCTCACTCATCTTGACTCGACTCTCTTGAAAGACAGAGAAAAGCTTACTTCAAATTCCCGGCGAGATCGGAAATCGGAAGTTGCAGAGGCTGAGCCAAATCATGAAGGACGGGAAACGGATGAGACATCGTTGGGTAAAGTGCAATCACCAAAATTCTCCCCGTGGTGCCTAAAGTAATTGCCGACGACGACAATATTCCCTGCTTAATTCTTCATATCTTTCTTAAGGGAAAATTGGGGGGAAATGAAGAACATCAATTTATCTACTTTCTTGTGATACCTCATTTTTCCACCCACATTAATGAATCTCTATTTTAAAAAAGATAATGCAATTATTTTGGGAGAGCCGTTTTTTGCATTAATATATTTGTCTAAATATATGCATGTGAAAAAATTGATATGTTTTTTTTTTCTAGTTAAATAAATGTACAATGATAGTGTTGAGGGAGACAAAAAAGAGGTACAATCAATTGTGCTGCACTAGATTCTATTAAGTTACGAAGGTTTCCGGTGGAAGATAGTTGCTCCACTTTTTTCAATGTCTTTTATACCAACTCTCCGTAAAAATAGAAGTTTGAGCGTTAGTAATTTACATAGTTTTCGAACGTGAAGATTTCATTTTAAACAATTCTAGTGTTAATCTATCAAACGTTGTCTTCAAGGAAAGAGTATGTTGAAAAATCCGACCAATTCAACTAACTTGCAAAATAATTCAGCATATTTGGATGCTGATGCATCCCCGTAGCTTAGGAATGTGAAATTCCAACAAAATGGAAGATGCAATATGGAAATCTGAATCCCTACCTCCTTGATGAACAAGGTTGGATAAAAATAAGCAACCGAACTTATTCTAACGCCATAAAAGTAAAATGTTGACGAAAATGTTCATTGCCCCCACAATTTAAAGCGACAAGATCGATGGATAAAAATACCTATTACACTCTTAAGGTTGAAAGTTCACTCTTTGTCCTCCAATGCTGCAAACTTCATCATGCCAAACACAAAACACAATGATCTGATAAAGAAAGTCAATAATGAATAATGATGGTTCCTCCTCATCCATCATATTTCCCTCTTCAATACAACTTCTGCCATTTGAAAAAATACCTAACTATGTATAACATACCAAGTAGGTTACTAGCAAACATTTTAATTCTGTACATTACTCAGCAAGGTAATACACAAAACATTATAAGTACATGATTCATTCGAGGATGAATGATGATAATACGCCTCCAGAATTCGGAATGTCGACGAAAGAAAAGACAGAAGATTGAAACTTATGGCTATCGTTCGTATAACAACACTAACAAACAGCATGGTTTAGAAATGAGCCAATTTAACTCTGGGAACCCTTGATCAGGAATTGCAAAGAGAAGAAACGCCTTTCCAAAAAGGATGAAAGCCTGGAAGCTGGAAGTTCATTGAGCGTACCTGGGGGATCTGGAACACGCATTCACTTCATAACCTGCCTCTAATTACAAAGCAAGCTCCAAGTATAGATATGAAGTGAGTGCCCTATCATCCGCTCTGTAAATTTAAGATTATCTGGGTGGATATAGACTAAGTCTAGACAAAATTTTTAATCCTGACAGTCAAGTATATGCACAGCGACATCACTTGCAGAAAGAAGCTGAGATTTCCAACTGAACAAACCTACCCTCCAGTTCCAGCACTGTCGGCTGCTACCTTCTCAGCTGAAGAAACAGAGTTTGCTTCACTGGAAGTTGGGCCTCCTTTTTCACCCTGACCAAGTAAGCGGTTGGAATCTTGATCGGGGAAAACTTCCGATTGCAATGAGGGAGAAATGTTATTTACATGCAGCCATGTGAGTTCCCACAAGCTATCTCCACCTAGCGCACTCCTCTGAACTAGCACTCCCTTAGTTTTCATAACAAGCACTGTGTTCTTCAGGAGTTCAGGCACTAGCTCCTGAAGCTTCTCGCTTCTTTTTCCTTTGACTTTAGCTTTTGCATACTTTTCCATTCGGTTAAGAACACCAAGCCATAGTTTGCAGAAGGTTGTTAACTGAGAAAGATCCTGGAGCAATAGTAAAAACACTTTGGACAAGAGTTTCATGGCAAGGATCAGCGTCCCTTCCATGTTTCTGTAATCTTTCTGAGAGTGTCCTTGTGCAATTTCCAATAAATCATCAAGCATTGTGAAGATCACAAGATCGAAACACTGTAACCACAAGCCATGTGGAAGGTGGATTTCATCAACGCCTGTCAAGCACTTTTGCAATGACAGCAGAGCCTGGTTTCTAACCTCCTCCCTCTGATCCAAGCAAACTTTTCTCAACCCTTGCACAAGCCTCAGCCACATGTCTCCAATATCTTGCGACATTTTAATGACTTCCTCCTCCCTTGCAGCTTCCTTTCCCTCCCTAGCCCACCGTGCTAAACAATCAACAGATCCAGCCATGAGATCCAATGCACGCAAAGAACGTTCAGCTTGTCCAACACGAGACTCGGAAAATTGCCTTGAAGCATCAATGCAGAGGGTATAATTTGCTGGCAACAGGTGGGCACCGTCAGACACAATGAATAGTAGAGCATCAAATCCTGCCTCAGAGGCCTCTGGATGGCGAGCTGTAATGGAAAGTAGGGATGTTATTGTTCGCCATCCTGATGGAGATCTAATATGAGAAGCATTTGCTTTTACTAGACGGCTGACTTCCTGTGTAATTTGCTCACAGTATGCATCGGCTACCCGAGCATCTAGCTTCAAGACAAGTTGCAGAGATCTCAAAAGTTCATCAGCAAGGTTCTCTTTATAAGGCAGCAAGCGCTGGCAGATCCGGAGAAGTCCAAAAACAGCTTTCTCCACCAGGGCACAAGGCATGACAGTTGACTGCACAATGTTAGATATATGATCATAAACACCCGGCCAAAGAAGCACAATTCTATCTCGGTTATTTAGGGTAATGGCAATCAACAATTCCAGACAGAAGACTGCGGTATCTTCATCCTCTGGAGAACTGTTTCCTTTCTGAGGCCGTCCTGCTGCCCATATGAGTGCTTGTGCCAGCTGTAATAAAGATTCAGCCTGAAGAAACTTGCTCTCCGTAAAAATGCTGTCAATATTGCACTTTTGAATAGTCTGAAGGGTGCGCTGATGAGCAGCAAGTTGTTGTTCGGTAGGCTGTGACCTTGGCTCCTCATTGTCAAGAGATAAGAGCTGACTGAACCGGCCCATCAATCCAGAGGATCTCTTGGGAGTACCAACTGACGGAATATGAGCAGCAGATAAAGAACTTGTAAGAGGCTTTCCATGTCCAGTGTCAGAAGAAAGTTCTGATTCATCAGCTGCATGACTCGCCACACGAGCTGACAAAAGACCAAGCTTGTGCAATCGTAAGATGCAATCAAGGATATTTCTCCAGCCTGAACGAATGAAGTCACCATACATGTTGGCGATGTTGAAAACTGTCGTGGTAGCCATCCTAGCCTTTGTATCATCACCAAAGGCCAGCACAGGCTCCTCAACAGATGATGGGTTCATGAGGGTTGTGAACTTGCAGAGGGACACAACAAGATCGTCAAGTACATCTTCAAGGTGATGACATGCGGAGATTTTTGCAACAGCTAAGAATCCATCAATACATGTTTGATAGACTTCTTCATGTTCTGCATGATCAAATACCACAGATATAGCCGCAATTGTTGACCCTGACATTATAGCAAACATATCACGATCAAGGTAGGCTTTAGAATCAGACACGATGAATGGAGAGGATTTCTTGGATTTATTCATCAAATCTATCCATCGGCTTGGGGTCATTTCAGGAAAACCATTGCCTTGCTCCGGAATAGTACGAATCTCATTCTTACAGATTGAGTGATACAACTCGGAGAGGAAATCTCTTGGAAGATCATTGCCTCCATTTATGTGCCTGCTGTTCCGAATGAAATCTTCTTCCGTCATCTTCTTTTTCACTTGAACATTGTGCTGATCTGTATTCAGCAGTATAAGTGAATAAGAAAGTAGAAGAGCAGCATCCTTATTCACAAGAATTTGAGGTGACTGTTCATAATATCTCTCAGAGAACGCCTCAAGCACCCTTTGTATCTTCTGTGATTCTCCCGGGAGTCTGAAAGTTTCCAAAAATAGCCGCAATGCAGTATCCAAATTCATGTCCTGAAAATCAAAAGTCCCAGCAAATTCATGAAGAACCTGGACGCAAAACTCATCATGATTTCCAAGGAAGTCCCCAACCAGATTTTTATCCAAACCAGCAGTGAACCTGAAAAAGCAGGCTACACTTTTGGGATCAAGTTTATCAGGCAAGAGGTGGGTTCCTTGAAGAAACTCCAGTCCTTTCTTGGGATCACGGTTAAAGTGATCAGCTCCAATCATCAAACGTCTCTTGATGTACTTTTTCCTTCTCACAAATGGAATCCATTGA